TGTTCACCAGCCTCTCTTCCTTTACCAGTCCTTGTGTGTATCTGCTTCATTCTATGCTGACCAGTCTCATAGTCTTTACCTGTTTCATCTGGCAGCTTCAGGAGGGCCAGTTGCTGGTTCGTCAGTTCCAGTTCCTGCGCTGGTCGGCCTACCGGGAAGTGCCTGATTCCAGAAAGGCCTTCCTTGGCCTGCTGGGCTTGGTGCTGAAGTGGCAGGGAGAGGCTGGGGAAGGCCGTACTGTTGTGCACTGCCTGTGAGTTGAAGGCTGGTTTCAGAGATTACTTTCAGAGATGGTTTCAGAAATAAATATATTTCAGAATAATCTGTATACTCACCTTACCTATGGCTTTATTTTCATATAACATGCAATTTTTAGTGCTGGGCAGTATAACCAAAAATTTGTATCACAATATTTTTAAAAATTCTGCTGGTTTCATAGTATATCATGATATTTTTTCCCAAAGTTCACCCTTTCCCCTGCATGATTTTAATAATTATTACTGTTATAAATGGATAATTACAGATTTTGCTTTACAGGTGCATTTAATTGCATACCTAATTATATTACATATAATCCAAAGTTTCAGGCAAAAACTGAAGCAGTAGCTATAAATTCTACAATACCGAAGTTATACAGCTCTGAGAGACCACTTCCTATTTTTTAAGAACCTGCAGTGTTAAATCCTGGTTTAATCCTGGCTCAGCTGACAAAAGGCTTCACTTATCCAATAGTGTCTCATGAATCGGAAGATGACATCAAGTGACCTTTAAAATGAATGGAGAACCTTAAGTAGTGTGATGTGCACTGCTAGGACAATTCCTAGAAGCAGGATTGAAGACCCATAAAGCAAGGAAGAAGCCCTTCATTAATGAGAAACAGGGAAGAAAAATTAATATTTTACACAGGCGCATACCCATAAATTGAGAAATGAGTGAAACAAAAATTTTTGCTGTGGTCTCTTAATTTTTTCCCAGAGCTGTGTATGGAGAATTGTTGTGTTATAAAGTTATAACTGTTAGTAAGAAGGTTATGCACAGTTAACAGGGGTCCCCTCTCAATAAACTGCTACCAGCAAACAATATTATTTAATTTGCTGTTTATTGAGGTGTTACAGCTGTTGTTTTAGTTATGCTGTGGTATGCAGAATGTGAAAAAAAATCATACCATATGGGATATTAAAGGCGGTATAGCAGATGAACTGATATACCAGCCAGCACTAACAGAGAACATAGAATATTTTAAGCAGGAAATGTACTGAAGCTTGTATTCCTATGCGTGATTGGCTGTATGTGTGTCCTTCGATGTGTGCGGACCTGTGTGCCTGTGATTGTATGTACCTGTGTCCTTTTATGTGTCCAGATCCGTGTGCCTGTGTTTGAATGTGCATGTGTCCTTCTACAGTATGTGTGCGGAACCTTGTGCCTGTGTTTGGATATACCTATGTCCTTCTATGTGTGTGAACCCGTGTACCTGTGTTTGAATGTGCGTGTGTCGTTTTATGTGTCCAGATCCGTGTGCCTGTGTTTGGATGTACCTGTGTCCTCCTATGTGTGTGGACCCACGTGCCTGTGTTTGGATGTGCGTGTGTCCTTTTATGTGTCTGGGTCCGTGTGCTTGTGTTTGGATTTACCTGTGTCCTCCTATGTGTGCGGACCCGTGCACCTGTGTTTCCCAGGAATGGCGGAGGCCGCAGTGGTACTTTCTGTACCTGTGTCATGCTGCTGGAGATGATGCGCTCTCACGGCATGGTAGACGTCTTCTACGCTGTCAAAACACTGCGGAACTCCAAGCCTAACATGGTGGAGAGCCTGGTAGGTGCTGATGCGAAGAGCTGAAGGCTCTGCCTGTGCTTCCTGCAGAGGTGCACTGACTGCTCTTTGCCTGACCCTTCTGCTGTGCCCCCTGCTTAACAGGAGCAGTACCGGTTCTGTTACGACCTGGCACTGGAGTACTTGGCCTGCCTGGAGGCCAGGTAACAGCCGGTCCACAGACCCCCCCAGCTGCTGCCGGTCTAGACTTGTCCTCCTTCCGGGTTTCTGTTAAGGATGCAGTAACTGTCCCGTAACAGCAAGTTGGATGCAGGAGAAGCTGCAGCTGTATGGCCAAAAGTGGTGCTGATCTCACAACACTCAGTGTGCCCCTTTTGGATTTCAGCTTTTTGAACATTAACTTGTGTGTTGATTTTGCCTGGGGCTTCATGTGTGGCATGTTCTTGTCGAGGCCAAAGGCATGACCTGCATAACCTGCAGAGTTTCCATTGGGATCAAGAGCAGCTGACTGTCCAAAGGATCACAACCTGCAGAGTGTCCACAGGATGAAGACCTGCAGACTGTCCACAGCGAAAAAGACCTGCAGACTGTCCACAGCGAAAAAGACCTGCACAGTGTCCACAGGGAACAAAACCTGCACAGTGTCCACAGGTCACAAGACCTGCAGACTGTCCACAGGTCACAAGACCTGCAGACTGTCCACAGGGACCAAGACCTGCAGACTGTCCACAGGGAACAAGACCTGTAGTGTGTCCACAGGGATCAAGACCAGCTGCAGAGCTGTCTAGAGGAATTAAAACCCGTCCCTGTGAGCCAGTGATTTGATCTGGTCTCGAGGATTACTAACAAGAATTTCCAGTTCTCACAATGGTCCAGAGGATTCTGTTGTAGGAAAAAGCTTTGAGAAGAGCACACATTGATGAGGAACTGAGCAGATATAAGAACAGCAGAGAATGCCTGCAGAAAGGTGACATTTTCTGATATCACTGCCAGTACTGCTTGGGAACTGACTGGAGCTGCCTGATCAGGTCCACTCAAGCTGAAGAGCTCAAATTGAGTGCTTGGATTTACCTTGACTGTTGCCATGGAGATTAGCTCTTGGAAATCTCTTGGCAGATGAGATTGGTAGGGTCTCTGATGGGAATGCAGGTCACAAATCGGGTAACCCTTTGTGTCTACACAAGAGATGCTTTGGTTGTGGTCTGTGCACATAGGTGTTTTGCAGATGTTTCTAGGTATTGTGATTCAAGTTTCCAGTCAATTACGTGTGTGTGTGTGTCTCTGTCTGTGAAACAGGTGACCTTCAGAACACGTGTCTGCCATTTGCTGAAATACACAAATGAGCCATTCTACCCAGCAGGGACTCCTTCTGCACAGCAGCCCGACACTCTGCAGGAACAAGATTAAAAAGTTATCATACATACTACTTTATTATTATTATTATTATTATTATTATTGATAGTGATCATTTCTCATTACACTGTCTATATTTTTCGCAGTTGTTGACAGAAATGTAATAAATGGCACTGATAAATGAGCATTTCAGTGGTTTTGGCATATATATTTTGAAATTTCACAGTTCTGTTGTATTTCCTTGTCTTTCTTGCTGTGTTCAGTCTTGTTTCACCCACACCTTCCCCAGAAGCATCTCAAACCCAGTGGTACACAAATATTTTTTCAATATCTGTGTCCACATGTGCCTTCTGTGCTTACCTGTAAATTGCCGTATTCTGAAACCATCTGGGATTGAGGTACAGATGATTTGGGAGCATGGGAGGGAGACGTCTTCTGGAGCGACCCTTGAGACAGCTGTCCTCCAAGGGCCATAACACTGACAAGCACCTTCCAGCAGCACAGCTAGGGGGCTCAGGACTGTTAGTCTGTGTTGCATTTCAGTACAGTGGAATTAGCACTGAGAGAATTTGTTTGGTTTATGAGTCTGAATCCTCTCTTTGTCGTATGGCTTAGCAGTGGAGTATGGAGGTCCCACCTACTGCGAAACACAGTGGCTTGACTTTCTGCTTTCTTGGGGGGGGGCAATGTTATTTGGATTCAGAGTGTTTTGTGTGATTATACTTACTCTCAGCGATACTTTTTGACCCAATAAATAACTGCTGTTGAGCTTCTTGTGCTGTTGGTTGAAGTCCTTCAAGGGAAATGTTTTTAAACCCATGAACAAAGCTCTTAACCTTATACATCCGGAGAGGATGGTAAAATGGATTATTTGTATATTAACATTTTCCAGTGCAAAATGCGAGCCACTGCATGTAGAAGGCTATTGTCCTCTCATTTTGAAAAGGCCAAATGCTGACTGTAATCACGCATAATGTAAATTTCTCTGGTTAAGAGCCTCTCCTTGGGTAAAAGAGTATTATTATGTTTAAATTGCTGAGGAAATCTACACAGTTTGTCATCAGGACGATTAACAGTGTTCTCCACTGAAGAGTTATGATGTGAGAAATGCATTAATCTATTTTATACGTCACGCTCCTGCTCTGACAGTGACGGGCAGGCAGGCGTGCTCCTGGGCCTCCGGAAACTTCCCTGCATGCCAACTGCCTGCCCCAGTGTTACTCCAAGTCACATGCGTGTGGCACTCGAGCAGCGCTCCAAACTGGTGCCCCTGAGGATGGCGATGTGCCCCAGTCATGGCAGAGACGTGGCAGGGCATGGGGCAGAGGTACACCTGACAGTGACACTTACATCCCTCCTTCTTTGGCAGTTTCCTGGTTCTATTTTATGACATCATCTTCTACCTCCCTCAGTGTGCAACAAATGACTTCAGAAAGGCCAACGATCCCACGAGCATGGAACCTCACCCAATATGTGTGCTGCAAATTAGAGACTAATTCTTATGAGAACCTTTGTGTGGCTCCTCTCAGAAAAAGCATTTATATGATAATGAAAACGATGCAGGTGCTTCGCTCACAGGAAATTCTGTTATATGCAAGACAAGAAGTGCTGACTACTCAGTATCGTGTTTGGAAATGGAGCAGGATGCTCGCAAGCCACCTGCGGGACTCTGCCTGCAAAAGAGCTTATTTTGTTGGTCTCTAACACAGTCAGAAATACTTGCTTTTATAATTGGTGTAAAATATTTGTTGAATCACCTGAATATGAAAATAAAGCATATTGATCACAAAAAGCAACTTATTTGGAAGCTTATAACTCCATATCCAGGGGATGATTGGCAAGGCAAATGGAGCAGATTTAGTGTGTGTGTGTGGGTGCATGTGTCTGTATGGGTCATGTAAATATTACTTTGTGGGGATCAATTGTCACCACACTGTGATAAAAACCTGTAATTCTTACATTGTGGGGACCATTCTTTCAGTCCATGCTCAATTTTTATAAAAATCAATGAAAAAACTAAAACTGCCAAAAGTCTCACATTTTGTTTGGTTACTTATGGTTACTCTAGTCTGTAGGGTGTCTGGGATCAGCCTTAGCAATAGGGTGAGGAGCTCAGACATTCAGGAGGGGCTCAAAGTACAGCTGCTGCTTCTCTGCATTGAAAGGAGCCAGTTGAGGTGGTTTGGGCATCTATCTAGGATTCATTATGGACGACTCCCTGGGGTGGTGTTTTGGGCATCTCCGAGGAGACCTCGGGGCAGACCTAGGACACGCTGACCTGGGAACGCCTTGGTACCTCCCCCCCCAGGAGGAGGTGGCTGATGAGAGGTAGGTCTGGGCATCGCTGCTTAGAATGCTGCCTCTGCAACCCGACCCCAGATAAGCGGCAGAAAATGGAATGGAAAGGAATGGAATGGGAACCTATGGTTAACGTTAGGGCTGGGTAGGGTTCAGGTCGTCATGTGGGGATTAGAGATTTCTCCATAGAAATGAATGGGGAGTCCCCACAAATGTATAATTACAAACCTGTGTGTGTGTGAGAGAGAGAGATTTGTACCTCCACAGCCTGCTCATCTGACCCTATGATCCTAAGTGATTTGTGCAGAAGACAGCAGCTTCGTCTCTCATAGGTGGCTTCTATGGGGAAATGAGGTAGAAATTGATCAAGGCATTTGATTAAGCAACATGCTCCTAATTGATGTGCTGAATCCTGGGCCTCCACGGACAAACACAGCCCTGAAGGATTCAGGGAGGGACTCCCATGTGATGCCTGAGATTCCAGGTAATCTGACATACAGTTCATATATACTGCTTTAGCACAAAGCTCTTTGCTGTATGCTGATGTAATCCAGCTCTGTCCCAGGCAGCTCAGAATAGCAGCGGCATGCAGATGGGGCACGCAGAAGAAGCACACTGATGGGACATGCAAACGGGGAGTGCAGACGAGGCACACAGATGGGGCGTGCAACCAGGACACGCAGATGGGGCACGCAGACGAAGCACACTGATGGGACATGCAAACGGGGAGTGCAGACGAGGCACACAGATGGGGCGTGCAACCAGGACACGCAGATGGGGCGGTTGCACACTGATGGGACATGCAAACGGGGAGCGCAGACGAGGCATACAGATGGGTGCATGCAAACGGATCACGCAGACGGGTGCGCAAACGGATGGAATATAGTCTGCCAGATGGAATCTCATTAAAATTCTGGTTCTGCAGGCCTGCTGAGTGCCGGCAGTAAGAGGGCTCATTCTGCTGTTGCTGTCACACTGTATTAGCGGAGTAATTCATAAGTTCTCTCTCCTCTTTATCCTTCTGTTGTGCCCCCCATCTCGGGCCACATGGGGAGAGGTCACCCTTTCTCTGTTGTGTGTTGATGCCGATGCTGTTAAGGGACAAGTCCCTTGTGTCCCCCTGTCACTCTCCCCACAGGGCCCCCCTAGGCGGTCTCACAGGTGAGGCACCGATGTGCACCTGCTTTTCTGCATAACCTTGGACAACAGACCAGGAGGCCCAGAAAACACAGAAAGTCGCTCTCCCTTTCTCTCTCCCCCCTCCCCCACTTTCTCTCACTCTCTTCGTCCCATTCCCTCTCACTCCCTCCTTCCCACCCGCTCTCTCACTGTCTCCCTTCTCTCTCCATCTCCTTCCCTCTTTCTCTCGCTCTTCCTCCTTCTTCCCCTCACCCTCTCTCCCTGTCACATAGTGATGTTGGAAGTGAACAGCATTTGGCTTCTAATGCAGGGTCACATGCTGAGTTGTACTGTTTTTCCTCTAAAGGTCTGTTACTGTCAAGCGGTCTCCCATGCCCAGCTGTGTTGATCTTTGCTGTGAGGGAGCTGTCTGCCCTCCTGCTTGATTCACAGAATGGCTGCATTACCTATGAAATCTCTGCAAGTATACCTGCTGTAATGCTCAAGGAAATGGACCTGTGGGGGGGCTGCCCGTGTTACCCAGAGCAAATTAATCAAAATGTATGAACTGAAAGCATTAGTCATGCTGTGTGAATAGGTGACATTGTCACTTTGGATAAATGCTACTGCTAAGAGGTTAAGTGATGCAACATGATGCAGGATGCTGTTGCTCAGCTTTGCTCCCCCAGGAAATGCCTGACTGTCACAGCCTACAGGGCAGCAGAGTCACACCTGGTGCCACGTCTCAGATGCCTGGGCCTGGTCATTCGGGAGGATGGAGCTACATTGCTGCCTGATATTCAGCATCAGGGGTTTCCAGCTGACTTCCATGGATCCCAAACCGCTGGCTGAGGGGAGCATATCTGGGGAGGATCCAGTGCTCCTACTGTGGCTAAACCTTTAACTGAAGTGGTTTAATTAGAAGATAATTAAAGTGATGCTTCAGAACATGTACCAAAACTCCACACCCCTCTTCCCAGGGAGCTTTTAGGTTCACCATGAATGTTTCCTTTCATAGACATTTGCGGGGCTTCACTGTAGGAGTCCGGGCGGCTCTTCAAGTGCAGCACTCAGGAGTCCGGGCGACTCGTCCAGTGTAGCACTCAGGAATCCGGGCGGCTCATCCAGTGTAGTGCTCAGGACTCCGGGTGGCTGTTCAAGTGCAGCGCTCAGGAGTCCAGGCGGCTCATCCAGTGTAGTGCTCAGGAGTCTGGGTGGCTGTTCGAGTGCAGCGCTCAGGAGTCCGGGCGGCTCATCCATTGTAGTGCTCAGGAGTCCGGGCGGCTCATCCATTGTAGTGCTCAGGAGTCCGGGCGGCTCATCCATTGTAGTGCTCAGGAGTCTGGGTGGCTGTTCAAGTGCAGCGCTCAGGCGTCCGGGCAGCTCATCCAGTGCAGCGCTCATGAGTCCAGGGCAGCTCATCCAGTGCAGCGCTCATGAGTCCAGGGCTCCTCGTTCAGTGCAGCGCTCATGAGTCCAGGGCTCCTCGTCCAGTGTAGCGCTCATGAGACCGGGTTGCTCATTGAGTGCAGTGCTCAGGAGTCCGGGCTCCTCGTCCAGTGTAGCGCTCATGAGTCCAGGGCTCCTCGTCCAGTGTAGCGCTCATGAGACCGGGTTGCTCGTTGAGTGCAGTGCTCAGGTGCCATATGAAGTGCATTTTTCCTTGGATGCTGCCAGTGTCTCAGTGTGAAAACTTAGCACCGCCACAGGCTACAGCCACCTATTATTACAGTTATTTCCCACTCTACAGCTTTGTGTCTACAAGCCACTTTTTATATTACACGGCAAAACTGTACAGCCTAAAGCAGGGGTCGGCAATCTGCGGCTCGCGAACCACGTGCGGCTCTTTGAGCACGAGGCTGCGGCTCTTCTCAGAACGATAGACGCATTCACATTTTCATGTCTTTACGTATTATGATAAATTATTTATATTTACAAAAGTATTATTAATGGGTTAATATTATTTCTCATTTAGATATTTCTTTAGCTATATGTGAATGAGGTGGTCCGTCACGTGCTTCTGTGATGTCTTAACTGCATAATTTACATCATCTTCAGTCTCTACGATGAGATTACATCTCCGTTCAAATGGTATGCTTTCCGGAGTTTTCTTCAGTGTCCGAGATTGGATGTAGGCTTCAAAGTTTATTGGGATTTCTAATTCTTTCATATACTTCTTGTAGTAAATCGTCACCACGCCTTCCCAGGTCTTCGCAAAATTGTTATATTTTCTCTGATTTACATATTATACCAGCTGAGTTCGGAGTGGTGAGGACATTTTGCACTGCTCAGTCAGCACAGGTACAAGTAGTGAAGTGGAGAGTGAAGGGCAGACAAATGCAGAGCCAAACGAACTTTACTCAGAAAGAAGGGGTGAGGGTGAAGGCTGTCGCTACAGAACTGAACAATATTGTGATATTAGTCACCTTTGTGCTGTTACGCGTCAAGTGATTTAAAACTGAGAGCTCCCCTCCTCAGGAGTCATCCTCAGCCCTGCGCCATCAGCAGGCCAACGCCTCGCTGTAGACTGTAGCAGCACTACAGGGGCCAGGCTCAGGAGTCATCCTCAGCCCTGCGCCATCAGCAGGCCAACGCCTCGCTGTAGACTGTAGCAGCACTACAGGGGCCAGGCTCAGCAGTCATCCTCAGCG